CTTTTACAAAATATTATAATATTATGAACAACCTGAAACTTTAAGAAAAATACAATTTCAACACAATGTTTTAACATGAACTTGTTTAACATTAACATGTATAAATAGGAATAACAAAGTTTTTCTTGGAAAATCCTGCACTCGGCTCCACTTTTCTCATGTTGGACATTTTTCTGATGAGGGTGTCACGGTCAACAGTCAAAACGATCGTCCTTTAAGAGTGTTTGGAAAGAGACAAGTCTTCATTTGTGTTGCTCTGGTGGGAGGGGCCACGCACAAAGATGCTGGAGATGCTGCTATGCTCAGCACCGCAGAAAATTAACAATATTTTAATTAAAAAATAGAATTAAAATATTTTAGTAGAAAATCAGCCGAGGGCCAGATTAAAGGTCTTGGAGGGCCGGATCTGGCCCCCGGGCCGCATGTTTGACACCTGTGCTCTAGGATTTAAGAACCGTACTGTGCTCACATCTCACACCTGCACAACCGAACCGAGCCACAGCCCGATGGTGTCATCATATGCCGCTGTTTGGTGACATGTGTTAATGCTTTTAGCGCAGAAAAGTGAGACAGATGTGCGTGCATTTATGGATATAAAAACAGTACGGAGCAGTAATAATAGCCGGATTTCTGTCACGACCTCTATCACAGTCCTTATTGAAGGTCAGCGCGGATTCACTGTGTGTTTTGGAGCTGGAGTTTATTCACTGTTTTCCTCGTATGAGATGTGTACATGAGCGACCGTGCTGTGCTTTGGCCCACCTTCTCCAACCGGGCCGGAGTCCAAACCAAACCGTGCTGGGCCTGGGAGTGGTTCAGCTGCGCTCACACTAGACAAACGTACCGCACTTTAGGACCACTATGGAACCTACCTGGACCACTGAGGGATTACACAGACAAGACCGCACGATAAAATAAAAGAAAATACTACAATTTAATACTGAAAATCACATTCTATTATCTGAATAAAGAGCGTTCTGAAGTCTTTTCCTTAGTATCGAAATCGAGTTTGAAATAGTAGTATCGTAACAACACTATGACAGTCAGTTTGCACACTATTCTCTGTACACGATGTTCTGTAGGTGAAATACTAATAGGTTCCATGGTGTATGGGGTTAACACACACAGGTCAAAGGTCACGCTCTGTTTGAATGGCATGTGTCAGTGTGTTTTTGGTCACGTGACAGACGGCGCAGAGGTGAACGAGGCAGCTGCTCCCCCCGTAAGTTTAGAAGCGCTCAGGAAACGTTAGAACCTGGTGTCGTAAGATGGGTAAGGTTTAGCTAAGGTTTGTGGAAGAGATATCCGAACTGAAACTATAGAACGTGATCATTTTTGTTAATGTTTTCTATGTTTTTCAAAGATAGGCATTTAAAAGAGAGGTTATTTGGAGCTTTGCGGCATATTATAACACTGTTATCTCCTCAAAAAACATGCCTGAAGAGCTTTTAGACGTCATCCATGCGTGTTTGTGTAATCTTGTGATCTCTTCCTGTCACTATTCAAACCCTTCTTACACTTAGCAGTAAACTTGGTCCAATGCTCAGCCCACAACACATTATCTGTTTCCACACAGTATTATTTTAATTTAAATTTTGTATAAATATGTAAAAACAGCATATAACACAGTACACTATAACTTGCAATGTTATATATGCGATACTATTACTATGCAATACTATTACTATGCGATGTGCAGTAGTTTCATTAGCAGGATGCACGCTGATTGTGGTGTGATACTGCTCTGAAAGGGGAGTGTTTTTTTTGCATGGGGAGCAAAGGCAGGTGTAATAACAAAAATTAAACTTATTATGAATTTTAAAATGTTGTTTTTTGAGTATAAGTGTAATACCTCCTCTTTAATATCTGAAACATGAAGCATAGATTTCGAGAGGATGTTTAAAAGCCAATAAAGTCCAGAATATAATTTGTCCACTTTAAGGTAAATTCCACTTTTTTTTTTTTTTTTTTTACATAGAATAGAACACAACCTATGCTCTTGCTTTTCAAAAAATCTTTTCTTCCAACCCCTGCAGATGCAATCAGCAGTGCAGCATGTGAAATAACTCACACTCACAACATCAGAGCCTCTCGTTTCTCTGTGATATCTGTACAGATATGTTGTATAAGCAGCTCGTCAGATTAAAATAAGTCTGCTGCACGGTGTCTGCAACTACTTATAAAGTGTTTTATTGTCCAATGTGTGTTAGTATGTGTTAGTTTCACCATGACAACACAACTCCGCACTGGTCTCTGAGAGTTGTGAAGAGCTTATAAACTCATCATGATGAATAATTACAATCAGAATGCATAAGGTAAGTGAGGAATAACTTTGGAGCACTGCAAACTGTCCTGTTCTCTTTTCTGTTTTGTTTCATTCACACATGTTTAACACACAATCCTGTGTTCTGGCTGAGTTCTTCTCTCCGACTAAGTCCCGTCCACACTAGTACGTATTCAAGACGTTTTCGTTGCAGATGCAGTGTTCGTCCGCACTAATCTGACTGAAAACTCAGCTCCCACGAATTCATCTGAGTACGGATCTGATCCGGCACTGTGTGGCCACCTGAAACCGTTGATACGCTGATGTGGGTCTATGTACCGTGAAGTAATTCACCGCCAAAACGCTAAGAGGCTGAAATATATATCCATTCATATATACAGTCTACGTGTACGACCTGCAGATGTATAATCTCTGAAAAGTTTAACATGAACCATCTCCAATGTGATAGAAGCACAGAACAGACTCACCATCAGCAGAACACCCCTCTGTCACAGAAAGGACACTCATATTCCAGTCGTGTCCTTTAGTACGACAGAAGCTGAACCGCATCAGTGCACAATAACGAGATGTTTTTTGAGCGCTCAGTTAATACAAATTAGCCAAGCAGTTTAAAGTTTTGTTTCTGTAAAACGTAAACAAATGTGCTCAAAGCTGTGTGGATAGGGAAGGCTTGCGGACACAGAAACGACGTGTCTGGACACAAATCATTTCCGATACGGTGATACAGTAATACAGTGATTAGTTTCAGTGCAAACGTAGCCTAAAAGCACTCTGTTTCACCTTGTAATGTCACGTATGAAGTGCTCTACTGTGTTTTTAAACTCCATACACCTTCACTAGAATCATTTGGACAATTTCAGCCCTGGAATTGCCCATTTTTACATAATAAAAAGTAAAAGGCAGCTATCGCTTCATGGAAAAACAGAAGATGTAAACAGACATAATAAAGGATTACTCAAATATACAGTATGTGATTGAAACAAAACACAACTCCAGGTCTGTTTTTGAGGAGGTAACAACATTATAACATGACTTAAAGCTCACAAGACTCAATTTTGTGTAACCTTTAACACAGTAAACATCAGCGAATAAAAACAATTTGCTTCTTAACTTCTTCTTTGTCCACTCCAATCACCTCCAAACCTGACCGACCTTCAGAACATCTCCCAGTTATCCTTCATATTTTCCCCTGTATTACCTATAGTAACACACACCGCACACTGTATTGTTTTGTGTGTGTATGTGTGTGTCGTGTTTGTGTGTGTGTGGTGTGTGTGTGGGACCGTAGCAGCACAGGTCAGACTGTCTCATCTTCACGTCGGGAGGGGATTAGCTGTGAGATGAATTGTTCCAAAGCTGACAATCAATCTCTTGTGTCCTTGGGCAAGACACTTTTCACATTTCACAGCGGAGCGGCTCATTCTGCCTGGAGAAGTGGCGCGAGAACTCGTTTTTTCACATGAATAAATCTTCCGTACATAGAAATGGTTCATAAAATATTTGAAGGTTGTATATTTTCCAAACGCTTTTGTGAGCTTTAAACCGTGTTAAAATGTTGTTACCTCATCAAAAACAGACCTGGAGTTGTGTTTTGTTTCATTCACACACGTTTCAATAAGTCTTAGTCTTAGTCTGTCTACATCTCCAAAACTCAAAATGCTCTGTTCCACCTTGTGATGTCATGAAGTGGTGATTTTCACAGCTACTTCTTACGTTTTGTTCCATAGAGATTGGCAATTCCAGGGCTGAAGTTATCCAAATGATTCTAGTGAAGGTGTATGGAGTTTAAAAACACAGTGGAGCACTTCCTGTATTGCCACGTGACATCACAAGGTGGAACAGTGTTTGAGAGAAGAATTCTAAATATGCAGAGTTTGTGTTTTAAACATGTGTGAATGAAACAAAACCCAACTCCAGGTCTGTTTGTGATGAAGAAACATTATATCAGAAAACAGTGTCATACGAGCCCTTTAAAGGCACAGTGTGTAACTTTTCTGGTGGGGTGTCTCTGTAGAGCTGTCTTCATATCTAGGATTTATTGAGTTTCAAATTTTTCTTAACAAAAATGCATTCTGAGTGGGCTTACGTCTCCATGGATCTGATTTGTGACAAGATTGAATCTGTTATCTCCCTGAAGAGAAGCAGGTGATGGACCCTCCACCAGAATAGTTGTGTGTATTATGGAGGTATTATGCAAAACAGACATTTTGGAGTTTTCTACCATGTTATAACGTTGCCTGTAGAACGTTTTATGTGTCATCCATGTATGTTTGAGTAATTTAGTGATTTCTCCTGGGCTCTTTTCGTACCGAGTAGCTGTGAGACTCTGTCCAGTGCTCCGTCCCCCACAAAAATTCCCCATACATTTATAAAAACATATAAAATCTAAATTCACGTTTTACAAAGCAGGTGCAATGGGCAGCAGGATGCATGTTGATTTTAATGATAACACTCTGAAAAAGGGAATGAATTTTGACCCAGATAGTCAAAAACGAAAGTGAAACTTATAAAACATAATCTTTCCTGCATACAGAGCATTTTCAAAACTTAGGCTTAGACTTTATTTAAACAATAAAACAATAAAGGTAACATGATGATCTGATATGTTTCGCGTAAGCAATTAATACTCTATAGAAGTATAGTATCCCCTTTTTAAATACATAAATAACATCAGTAATAGTGTAATAGTATAAAAAGTATAATTTAGTGTACTCACCATGTCCCTGTGAAGGCCCTTTGCTGGAGCATGCTGGAGCACTTCTGTCTCAATG